AGCAAAGATTATGAAAAATTTAAGAAAGCACAAGAATGGAATATGCAGGAATTGTGTGACACCATAAAAAGACCAAACTTATGAATCATAGCCATACAAGAAGGGGAAGAATCCCAAGATAATGGCATGGACTAGATCTTCAACAGGATTGTAGAAGAAAATTTCTAAAATTAAAGAAAAACAGCCCATACAAATACAAGAAGCATATAGAACACCAAATAGACAGGACCAGAAAAGAAACTCTCCACGGCACATCATAGTAAAAACACCAAATGTACAAAACAAAGAAACAATTCTGAAAGCTGCAAAATAGAAACAACAAGTCAATATAAAGGAAAACCCATTAGGATTACAGCTGACTTTTCAGTGCAAACTATGAAAGCCAAAAGAGCCTGGACCAAAGCATTCCCAGTTTTAAATGACCACAGATGCCAACTCAGATTACTATACCCAGCTAAAATGTCCATTACAGTCAAAGGGGAAAGAAAAATCTTCCATGACATAAATAGGCTGAAGGAATTCATGTTCACAAAACCAGCCCTTCCGAGAGTTCTGGAAGCAATACAAAGAGCTGAAGAAAGGAATGAGTATACCCAAGGTGTTGAAGAAAGAAATTCAGTGAAGGTATAACTGAGGAAAAGTACACCTATATCAAGAATGTAAACAGAAATAAAAATGTCAGGATTCAATACTCATCTTTCATTAGTAGCTTTAAATATTAATGGACTGAACTCCCCAGTCAAAGACATAGATGAGGTGAATGGACTAAGAAACAAAACCCATCTTTTTGTTGTCTGTAAGAAACTCATCTCACTTTCAAGGACAGACACTATCTTAAAGTGAAAAGATGGAAAAAAATATACCAAGCAAATGGTACTAAGAAAAAAGCAGGCATAGCAATTCTAATATCTGACAAAATAGACTTTAAACTAAAACTAATCAGGAGAGATAAAGAGGGCCACTTCATTTGGATCAAAGGAACAAGTCAAGAAGATATTACAATCATGAACATATATTCATCAAACTCTGCTGTACCCAACTTCATAAAAACAATACTACAGAACTTTAAGAACCAGAGTAATCCCAACTCATTAATAGTAGGGGACCTCAATACCCCACTGTATCCATTAGATAAGTCAACAGGGCAGAGAGTTAACAGAGAGACATCTGAATTAACCAATACCTTATATCAAACGGACTTAAGAGACATCTAATGAGTATTCCGCCCAAGCACCAAAGGATGTACTTTCTACTCAGCATCCCGTGGAACCTTCTCCAAAATTGACCATATACTGGGGCACAAAACAAACCTCAACAAATACAAAAAGATTGAAATAATTCCATGCATTCTATCAGACCACAATGCAATAAAGCTTACAATCAACACTGGAGAAGCCCTAATCACCACATGAACACATGGAGATTAAACAACACACTCCTGAATGATGAATGGGTCAAAAGAGAAATTAAGAAAGAAATAAAAGTATTCTGGGAATTAAATGAAAAGGACAATATAACACAACAAAACCTCTGGGACACCCTGAAAGCTGTCCTTAGAGGGAAGTTTATAGCTCTAAGTGACTACATCAAAAAATTGGAACGAAAACAAAAAGTTACTTAATGTTGCAACTCAACACACTTGAAAAGCAACAGCAAACTAAACCCAAACCCAGCAGACAAGAAGAAATAACAAAAAACAGGGAAGAAATTAATGAAGTTGAAACAAAGAAAACAATACAAAGAATCAATGAATCCAAGAGATGGTTCTTTTAAAAGATAAACAATAGTGACTGACCACTAGCCCAGTTAACCAAAAGGAAGAAAGTGCCCCTCCAAATCAACAAAATCAGAGACAAAAGGGGAAACATCACAACAGAAAGATACAGAACATTATAAGGGAATACTTTA